GGCTCACCTCATGACATCACTAGCTGGAGCGCATTGCAGCCCCCCAGCAGCAGATAGAAAGGAAACTGGCAACTCAGACAAAAAGAAATCAATAAACTGGATTTTAATCAAGATATAACAAACTGACAAATAAAGTTTACTAAATTTGTGCACTGAAAATATTTGAAATCTAAGTGAATCATTTTGAAAATGACAAATATAAAACAGTTCCCACTGAGCTTTAGTGTGTGTCTGTCACATAGTCGTAACGGAGATATTGAAAAAGAAAACCCTCCAACTTCACCATTGCTTCATTCCTGATTGCTTGTTTTAGCCCCCTTTTTTAAAGTGATGCTTGTAGTCAAATAACGTTGTAATCTAATTGTACTACAATTAGACTGGACTGAATAATGCCTCGGTAACCTATGGTGGTAGATCATATCTGTCTGAATCTGTCCGTGAATTTGTTTTCGTGCCGTGCTCTCATCCTTTATAAAAACCTTCTGTTCTTTCCTTAAACTCATCCTTTATTTAGACCAAGGTCAGACAGGAAGCTTGGAACACAATGGAGTTAATTTATTTGACCGCCCAGTCAGAGAAAGACAGACCTGGGCTTGATGGCAGCTCACAGGGAGTATTTATCATCCATTCATTATTCTGTCAAAGCTTTTGTTGGGAAGCATCAGTCGACTCTGATTAACGCTCTATTTTAGGAGCTCTGCACAACTCTGCTGCTTTCACCTAAACACAGCAGCTGCATCCGGCAACGAGTCCTTCACCAAGCAGTTCAAGTTTATTTTTGGCCGGTCCTTGGCTGGCCCTTGGTCCTTGGCCGGTCCTTGGTCCTTGGCCGGTCCTTGGTTGGTCCTTGGTCCTTGGCCGGTCCTTGGCCGGTCCTTGGTCCTTGGCCGGTCCTTGGCCGGTCCTTGGTCCTTGGCCAGTCCGTGGCTAGTCCTTGGTTGGTCCTTGGTTGGTCCTTGTCCAGTCCTTTGCTGGTCCTTGGCCGGTCCGTGGCTAGTCCTTGGCCGGTCCTTGGTTGGTCCTTGGCCAGTCCGTGGCTAGTCCTTGGCCAGTCCTTGGTCCTTGGTTGGTCCTTGGTTGGTCCTTGTCCAGTCCTTTGCTGGTCCTTGGCCGGTCCGTGGCTAGTCCTTGTCCAGTCCTTCGCTGGTCCTTGGCCGGTCCGTGGCTAGTCCTTGGCCGGTCCTTGGCTGGTCCTTTGCCGGTCCTTGTCCAGTCCTTTGCTGGTCCTTGGCCGGTCCGTGGCTAGTCCTTGGCCGGTCCTTGGTCCTTGGCTGGTCCTTTGCCGGTCCTTATCCAGTCCTTTGCTGATCCTTGGCCAGTCCGTGGCTAGTCCTTGGCTGGTCCTTGTCCAGTCCTTTGCTGGTCCTTAGCTGGTCCTTGGCTGGTCCTTGGCTGGTCCTTGGCCGGTCCTCGGCCGGTCCTTGGCCGGTCCTTGGCCGGTCCTCGGCCGGTCCGTGGCTAGTCCTTGGCTGGTCCTTGGCTGGTCCTTGTCCAGTCCTTTGCTGGTCCTTAGCTGGTCCTTGGCTGGTCCTTGGCCGGTCCTCGGCCGGTCCTTGGCCGGTCCTTGGTTGGTCCTTGGTTGGTCCTTGGTTGGTCCTTGGCCGGTCCTCGGCCGGTCCT